GAACAGTTAGCATGTTTTGCTCAAACTTTCGCCATGGCATTAGAGCTGGTACACCGTTGTCGCTTGCGAAATCAAAATGACGGCGCCGTGGGTGGAAACTTACAGATTAAGGGGCGGTAATATTATAATGAGATCCCTTTGCAACGTCACTAGGGGAGCGAAATCAGACGCTCTTGTTTCTTCAGATGCTTGCAGAAAAAGGCTTACCAAAACAAAGTTACTGGGTTAATCTTTTTCACATTTCCTTGGTTGGTAGATGCACCGGGGACCTGATTATAGCACTTAAAACCTGGAAAAGTCAGATTTTCATGATATATCACCTTTAAGCTCCATTAGATGAGGCATGTTCGGAACATTCTCTTGCCCTTTACTGTTGCTGTCAGGAACATTTTTTTAGCGGAAGGACAGCATTTAACGAACTCGCTTCAAAAAGTAACATTTCAATACATACATTTTTGGTTTTAATATTTTAGCAATAAGGTACTCGAGGCCGTGCTTCAAAGTACTTAGTAATGATGTGTATATTTTTAATGTCCTGATTGAGCGACATCTATTTTAGATGCTCAAAGATCACGCAAATATGGCGTTTTACTCGCATTACCGTTTCCATGTAAACTGTTATGTATATATTTTAAATTAATAATGAATTTTACCACTGATTAAATCATTACCTGATTCAAAATGAATGCTGTTAACAAAATCATTGAATAAAAAACACTATAACAAGTTGCAACTGCGTCCAAACAGGCTTTGATGCTTAAATTCAGTGTCTGGCTGTCATGATAAGCAAGGGCCATGGATGCTGTGTGTATGTGTATGACCCAGGGGGGAAAGAAATCGCTCTTTTATCGACCGTTTGACCATTTTCCTCAGCTCCTCATGCACTTGGGAAAGAAAGAATCTGGGGCAGAGCATGGTAACTCTACCGGAAGACATTTGCTTTGGGAGGAACAAGAGGTTTGCAAAGATTCACCTGGCAAAACTATCCTCATGACACCTCCTTGCTCTCCCTCAACGCACATCACCGAGGCCTCATACTTGGAAGTAGTAGGACCAGAATGGGAAGCAGAAAAGAATGTGAGCCACGAACGCAGCGTGCCTATGGATATGTCCTCACACGAAGGACATGAACCATCTACAAGGGAATTTGCTTTCAAAGACTGCCGATGAAGCACCCTTATCTGTGTATGAAGGAGGGAGAGACTGCTGCTTGAGCCGTAGATTCAACGACAAGGAGTACGAAAGGTGAATGAAGTGCCACTTCTCAGAGAGACATAGCATCGTCTATGAAGAAGAGTGAGCAAATGCAATGATGGCCTATTTATACCCGTATATCAGGGGCATGCTATGCACCAATAAAACCTGTCTTTATGTCAGATTTATTGAAACACATATGTTCAATCAATGACAGCTTTAACTTGTCTTTGCTGGCAGATGACCATGGTATAAGTGGGATACCACATATCGGGCAGTTCTTTACCTCCACGTCACGAATTACTGTAAAATCATTTAATGCACAGCACACCCAACCATGGATTGTCCCTTACTTACTGACCAATAAAGATTATTGGCTAACACACTGGTGCATCCCTACGTATTATGTGTGTGTGTATTTATACTTACACAGGATCCCCAGAACACAGAGACCCACAAGAGCAAAAACAAGAGAGATGCTGAGGATAATCAGAAGAACTTTTGTCCACTTAGGAGAAGTGACTTCTTGCTTTTGAATGGAATTTCCTGTGGTTAGAAATAAAGAGGGATAGAGGATTTAGTTTATAGCTATGATGATTTACAAAGTTAATAATTTAGTGTCCTTGATGTCGTTTAAAAGATTACATATTTGACATACTAATTTTTTCTTTTGTTATTGAACATTTGTTAGAATGCGTGAAAAAATATATAGCCTACACACACACACACACAATAAATGTTATTTTAAATGTGATATTAGCATCTTTAAATTATAGTGTTGGATGAATGAATGAAACATTTTACACAGGTCTTTCTGCTGTGGTAACCAATACCATTCTAACATGATCTTGATATCTGTTCTCTTCTCAGAAGTTGTTCAGTATTTTACCTCTGATCCACATTAATGAGCAGAATATAATAATATTAATAATAATATTACCTCTGTACTGAGTGCATCTGCGATCTGAAGTTGTTGTTGAAGGCATGTCATCATTATAATAGACTGGATCCATTTTGTAAACCTGAAAAGACGTGTCTGAGACGGTAGGTTGAGTGACTGCCAGAAACACGGAAGCCGCAGAAACATTAATACAGAAATGACTGTAATTTGTATAGACAGGAAGTACAAGAAGCAGTGAAAGTACAATGATTTTAATAATTTTTTAAAGATAATTTGTTGCATTTGTTGTTGTTGTTGTTGTTGAACTATCAGCTCAGTCATATTGAAGAGATTGCAGTATATTCAAAAAAGTGTTTAATGTTCAGTTATGTTGTAAATTTAAAAGAATTTCTGAAGGTTGTGTTAAAGTTTTTATGGGAATCATTGACAGCAATGGTCCTAAAACTAATTGATCTATTTGAGTTCAAATTTACTTCTAGCATACCACAGGTTTGCTAATGTAAATACAATGTACAAGAAAGAAGTTAATGACATTAGCACAAATATAATGCCATTCAATAAAGCAACAAACACTATAGTCATATAGTCATCCGACAGCCTAGGCGCAAGTTCCACTCTTCCACACAATGGTAACCACAAAAACACGAACAAACTCTTTATACTCTCAATATCAATACAATGGTAAACACAAAAACATGAACAAGCTCTTTTAAATTTCCAAAATAACATCAAACACAAACAGGTGTCTGTGTTCACTAAAAATGTATTAAAGATCACTTAATTTCCACATATACTTTCACTGTTTAGTTTCAGTAAAAATGAGACATGAAGTCCCAACACAAATATGTGAAGTAAACTTTGATATTTCAGTGGATTTAACAAAATGAAATTAAGCTGTGACAAATTGTTCAGCAATTGGGTAGCTTTAGCTCATTAAGTAAACTGAATATACATACAATAAAGGAAAGAAATGGAGGAAGTAGAAAACAAGTCCCTCTTGATGCTTGGTTTTCATAAATTATCTTTTTATTCTGTGAGGCAGAAATACAGCTTTTTTTTATGAAACATTTAGCTAAAAAGAACAAGCAAAACTTGATTCTTCTTATAAGAAAAACTTTAGTCCACTTAAGAGGAGGAAACAGATTAGCTGTTATTAGAGATCAAATAAACATAAATAAACACTGTTTATATTGATATGTATGTAAAGGATAATCCACGGCTAGCTGTGCATTAAATTATTTTAATGCATGACTTGGAGAAAATCATTTAATGCACAGCTAGCCATGGATTATCCCACTTAAACCAGTCATTTGCCAACATTGAAAAGTTAAAGCTGTTAATGATATTTGCAGCGAATATTTGACTGGAAGGGTAAATCAGACACGAGATGAAGTAGTGCAGTATCACATTTATTTGCAGAGGCGTAGCAATAGGGAAGGCAAGGCAGGCAGTTGTCTGGGACCCCGAATTCTGAGGAGGCCCCCCGAGAGCTGATTGCTTAAACAATCAGAAATATTAATATTAACAGAGTGTCTTCTTAAAGTGCAAGTAGCCCACCTTGTTGGCAGAGGCTATTTACATGAACTCCGCCCACCAATGTCTGGTTGGGATAGACAAAATTACAAAAGACACATACTATATAATAGAAACATTGGCACAAGACGTAAGGTGCGCACCGGTAACTTTTAACACGATCAACCCAAGTTTGAATCCGCCTAATTCTTCTTCCTTTTCCCATCACATATCAGATCGAAAAGACATTTATTTTCAATAAAAATGAAGGAAATACTTGAAAAGTGGAAATAAAATGCCTCACAGGTATTTAATAACAAAGGGTTTATAGGTAGGGTTAGGGGTAGGTGTAGGGAGGGCAACCATTTATTAATATTAATAAATATGATAATTTACACTCAATATGTTATTATTGCATACTGTTTTATAAAGTATACCGAGGTGCAGATATCTGCCACTATTTGCTCTAAGTACAAATAATATCTAACTAGGCCTACTATTTACATTTAGGCTAGCTATTGCGAAGAAAATACTGCTATTTTTACATCATGTATGTTCATCAAACTTTATTTGCACTTAGTGTAAAAAGCATATCATTATGAAAATATGCTATTTTACTTACTGTAAATAGCCGCTGCCATAATAAAATAAAGATTAATTTAAGATGCTAAGTCTAACCATATATTTCTACCATATATATGGTTATAATTGAAGATTGTTTGAAGATAAAATGAAGATTGTACTGTATCTTGAAGATTGTATTGTATTGTATCTTCTATTATAAAGATGATATAATTATAAAGATGATATAATTTTTTCTATTAAAAAGAGTTTGTTTAAAAAAAAATTTTAAATAAAGAATAAGCACTTTAATGTTAATTTGTTGAAAAATAAGCACTTTAATCTTGTAAAAAATAATTTATGTTCTGTTAGATGTGTTATGACTACTGTTTGTATGTTGTACGTGGACTGCGCACAGAATGCTCGGATCTTTCCTCTCACGCTCTGGATTTCCTCATGGCTCTTTAAACAGCTGTGAGTTCTCTGGCATCAGAGACCAGTTTTCAACTGTGTTTTTATGAATAACATGGCTGACCACTGACTACGATGAATTTATGTTGCAAATAACCAACGCTGTGATTGATGTTTCTGGGGAGAGAGAGGACATGAAAAGAAAGAGTGAAAAGTCTTTTGAAACCACTGCTCTGTTATTGATGTACCTCTAGGTACTTCCTATGTCCCCATAATTCAAATGGCTTAAAAAAAAACATACTAAATTGTGTGTGTGTGTGTGCGCTATTAAGTTTTTGGTGAGGGGTAGGTTTACGGTTTGGTGTCGGGGATAGAAAATACAGTTTGTACAGTATAAAAACCATTATGCCTATGGAAAGTGCCCGTAAACCACGCATACCAAAATGTGTGTGTGTGTGTGTGTGTGTGTGTGTGCATCAATAAAAGCAACACATTAATATAGAGTGGTAATTAAACTTAAACAGTTTTAATGCATACCTGCCAGCCAATCAGAATCGAGTATTCAGACAGACCATGCTATATGAAACAATATAACATTGATATTTCAGTCAATATTTAACAGGTGGTAATTGAAAATAACAGGCAGGTGTATTGGAGCAGAGCTAGATCTGAAGTTTGCTGGGTAGTATAGCCCTTCAGGAACATAGTGGCAGAAAGCAAAATTTAGTAGAAACCACAAATAGAAACAATCAGGAAGTTACAAAGC